CGGCTCTACCAGCACAGGGAGAAAAGATGGGCACCGGTTTGCTCCAGAGCACCATGATGGGCAGCCAACCTCCTCCACAAGGAGGGCTCCCAACCCGCTCAGTGTGATGGTAGACGCCCAATCTTCTCCAGATGGGCACTCTGCTCCAGAGCAGAATGATGGGCAAGAAACCTCCTCCAGAACATAAGGTTAGGTACCCAACCTGCTCCAAAGCTGAGGAGTAAGCACCCATTCTGCTCCAAAGCATCACAGCCATGCAGCCTGACTGAAAGAACAAAGATGGGCATGCAACCTGCACCAGAGCTCAATGGTGGGCACCCAATCTGCACCACAGAATCACAGTGGGCATGCAACCTGTTCCAGAGTTGAGTGGTGAGCACACAACCTGTGCAAGAGCACCATGGTGGACACCCAATCTGCTGCAGAGAGTGATAGGTATGCAAGCAGATCCAGACCTGAACGGTGTTCACCCAACTTGCCGCAGGACACAATGGTGGGCACGCACCTGGCTCAAGGGCTCTGTGATGGGCACTCGATCTGCCCAAAGCCACCACTGGCTGCTCCCTGCTTGTGGCAGAACAGGGCTGGCAGTTATATGCTTCCATCTCCCTCTGCCTTCAAAAGGGGTTTCAGAGAGCCAAGAGGATCCAGCATCCAAGCAAAGGCAGGAGTTGGATGGGAGGCACCACAGGCAGCACCTGCATCACCCAGGTACAGGTTGGTACAGGAAATTTGCACAAGCACAAATGGGGACTGGGCTCAGCCTCCAGGAGGGCTGGAGCTCCTCCTACACAGACAGGCTGAGGGAGCTGGGGATGTTCAATATGGAGGAGAGAAGGCTCCAGGGAAACCTCATTGTGGCCTTCCAGTACTTAAAAGAGCTGATAAAGAAGAGAGAGAATGACATTTTACATGGGCAGATAGTGACAAGAGGGAATGGCTTTAAAGGGGAAAATTTAGGTCAGATGTGATTTGCAAGTTCCTTACTCAGTGGCAGTGAGATCCTGGCACTGCTGGCCAGAGCTGTGCCCATCCTTGATGGGCACAAAGCCATGGGTTGGATCTGGGCAGCCTGAGCTGAGTGGGCCAGGGGGTTGTGGGGTCCCTTCCAACCCAAGCATGCAGTGGGTCTATGAATCTCTGCTTGCCTGATGGGATACGGCAGCAGAGGGACCATGGGGATGGTTGTGCCACAGCGAGGTGGACTCGATGACCTCATGCTTATGCAGGACATGTCCCACAAAGGGACCCAGACGGCTCCAAGTGCTGCCACACTGCCGGCAGCAATGGCCTCCAGTAAGGGAGGCATGAGGGCCTCCAACACCACATCGCCAATGACAGACTGCCCAGCTAATTGCAGAGGGCAGAGAATGCAGATGGAGCAGAAGCTGGGGTTGATGTGAGGCAGCGGAAATTGGTAGTGGGGCAGGTCAGTCTGACCCTATGGAGGCCTGGGGGTACCTGGTGAGGGCTGTGCCTGAGTCCCAGCAGACAGCTGACAGAGCCTGAGGCACTGGGATGGGAAGCGGGACAGAATCACAGAATGACCAGGGTTGGAGGGATCTCAAGGATCATGAAGCTCCAACCCCCCTGCCGCATGCAGGGCCACCAACCTCCACATTTCACAGCAGCCCAGGCTGCCAGGGCCCCATCCAACCTGCCAGTGAACACCTCCAGGGATGGATGGGGCATCCACAGCCTCTCTGGACAGCTGTTCCAGCTCCTCACTACTCTCTCTGCTCAGAACTTCTCCCTGACATCCAACCTAAATCTTCCCTCCCTCCACTTAAAACCATTTCCCCTTGTCCTACTGTTATCTACCCTTACAAAGAGTTGACTCCCCTCCTGTTTGTAGGCGCCCTTTAGGTACGGTACTGAAGGCTGCAATGAGCTCACCCCGCAGCCTTCTCTTCTCCAGGCTGAGCAAGCCCAGCTCCCTCAGCCTGTCCTCGTAGGGGATGTGCTCCAGCACCCTCTTCATCTTCGTGGCTCTCCTCTGGACCCTCTCCAACAGCTCCCTGTCTTTCTTGTACTGGGGACCCCAGGCCTGGACACAGTACTGCAGCTGGGGCCTCACAAGGCACAGTGGAGAGGGACAATCACCTCCCTGTCCCTGCTGGCCCACTTCCTTGTCTGACGGGGACAATGGCAGGAAGGGAGGCGGGCGGCCCGCTGGGACACGTGGGCCACACTCGGCGTCCGTGAAGGACGGGAACACCGCGACAGAGCCCAGGGCTGAACCCTACGGGACCGCGTGGGCATCTCGGGATGTGCCGCTGCTCCAAGCCCGCCACAGGTGGGCGGCCCCGATTCGCGGCCTCAGAGACCGGAAGAGGTCGGCACGTCCCTGCCCTGCCCACGGCCACTTCCGAGTCTAGCAATAGGAAAACCAGGAAACGCAGCAGATCCGCGCCGGTAGGAGCAGCGCACATCCCGGCTCCGACACCGCGCACAGAAGCGGCACGGGGGGCGCGGCCACGCTTCATCCCGCCCTCAGACCCGCCCCACGTGACGTCACGACATCGCCCCGCCCACCGTGGTGCCCGGATGAAGCACTTCCGCCGGCGGCGGGCGATGCTGCGGCAGTGACAGGGGATGCGCTCCGGTGAGCAGCGGCCGCGGCGGGTACCAGGGACAAGGGGGGCCGTGGCGGTCAGCAGCCGGTCCGCTGGGTTATGGACATTGAGCGATGGGCGATAAGCGATGGGCAGTGGGCATTGAGGGGCTGCGGCCCCGGCTTCTTCCACCTATTGGCTGTAAAGTGACAACGGGGCAGCTCCCGCCCCGCAGCGCATTCTATTGGTCGGCTGCACGGCCCCTCCGCCTCTCATTGGCGGATGCGCCTGCCTGTCTGTCGGCGGCCCGGCCTGGCTCTGCTCGCGCGGCCACCGCCCTATGCGAGCCGCTACCCCCCCCCACCCCGGGCTCCTGAGGTAACAGCGCGCGGCCGGCGCCGTCCGTCCGTCTGTCCGTCTGCAGGAGGCCGCGGGGCTGCACGAGGCGGGCGGGAGGGCGGGCGCGGAGAGGGTCGGGCTGCGGGGCTCGGGCGGGGGGAGCGGGGCTGGGGGCTGCGGGCCGCCCGGCGGCTGTGCGCGGGGCTGGGGCGGGCGACGGGGGGAGGGCGGCGTTGGGCCCTGACGGGAATCGCCGCCCCGCGTCGTCTCGGCGGTCTCGTCCCTCCCGGTGCCGCTGGTCGCTTTCCCTGCCGGCCGCAGACGCAGCTCGTGTTCCTCCGTTCCGTTCTTTTCAGCCCTAGGGTTCGCAGTGCTGAGAGCTGGCACGGCCTGCAGTGCTGGCAGGTACGTGACCGGCGGATGGGGGCTTCAGGCGGTGCCAATTAACGCCCGCCCTTAATGACGCTGGTTGCACGGAGCGTGCTGTCACCTTTCTTCCCTCTCACAGCCGCGGCTTGGTTTGCTGCTCTGGCAGAGATGCTGTTTGCTGCTGCCGATGCCGGGTCTGTGTGTGCCCGGTATTCCACACTGCAGGTTCTGCCCATCTCCCCCTGTGCTCAGCAGGGCTCTGTGCTGCTGTGCCCCATCCCAGCAGGCCCTGACAGTTTGATGAGTTTGACCCCAATTGCAGCAGACGTGACGTGAGGGATGAGCACACTGACATGAGGCACAGCTCCTGGAGCTGGACTTGCAGCTGAGTGACTTCCCATTAAGATCTCCTGCTGACGAGGATGGCTCTCCTCACCCACGCAGCTCATTGTTCTCCACCCCTGCTTGGTGACTCAGGGCTGCTCTGCTCCTTCTGAAACTCAAAACTCGCTTGACTCAGTGAGGAGTGCAGAGAGGGATTTTTTTGTTTTGTGCCCAAGGAAGTGGGCCAGCAGGGACAGGGACGTGATTGTCCCTCTCCACTGTGCCTCGTGAGGCCCCAGCTGCAGTACTGTGTCCAGGCCTGGAGTCCCCAGTACAAGAAAGACAGGGAGCTGTTGGAGAGGGTCCAGAGGAGAGCCACGAAGATGAAGAGGGTGCTGGAGCACATCCCCTACGAGGACAGGCTGAGGGAGCTGGGCTTGTTCAGCATGGAGAAGAGAAGGCTGCGGGGTGAGCTCATTGCAGCCTTCAGTACCTAAAGGGAGCCTGCAGACAGGAGGGGAGTCAACTCTTCACAAGGGTAGATGATGGCAGGACAAGGGGAAATGGTTTTAAGTGGAGGGAGGGAAGATTTAGGTTGGATGTCAGGGGGAAGTTCTTCACAGAGAGAGCGGTGAGGTGCTGGAACAGCTGCCCAGAGAGGCTGTGGATGCCCCGTCCATCCCTGGAGGTGTTCACTGGCAGGTTGGATGGGGCCCTGGCAGCCTGGTCTTGTATGAAATGTGGAGATTGGTGGCCCTGCTTGTGGCAGGGGGGTTGGAGATTCACGATCCTTGAGGTCCCTTCCCCAACCGTGGCAATTCTGTGGTTAACTGAGTGAAATGGAGTGGAAATGCTCCTTGGATATTTAAGCCAATTTCATTTTGCATTAAAAAAAATTCCAGGATCTCGTGGATGGTAGGTGGCCTTGCCAAGGTCAATTTTTGCTTAGAAATGTATTAGCATCTGTAGTAGTAAGAAATATAGGAAGCTGTTATATTTATTTGTTTGTATTTAAACTTGATGCATCAGACAGTGCACAGACACACTGGCTGGTAGTGCCAGCTAACTGTGAGAGGTGTGGGTTAAGTGGTGTGGTTGACTGTTTTGGTTTGTTCTTTAAATTATTAATCTTGGGTCTGCCTTGGAAGAGCTCCTCTGTCCTCACACACCTCAGCCTGGCTGGGCTGTGGTCAAGCTGCAGAACAGTTCCCATATGCTCACCTCTCTGTGCAAAGTTGTTCTGCACGTTTTTGAGAGGTGAAGGTATTTATTGAGAGGAATATGTCACTCCATGTCCTCCTCTCCTTTTGGGGTAAAACCCTGCTTTCTGTGAGCACATGGGGGCTGTAGGCATGAGATAATCCTCAACTGTGGGAAAAGGGGGGGGGGGGAACGAAAAAAGAGAGGAGAGAAGGCTGCTGGTGGCTGTGACGTTGGTGCCACAAGGAGAGTTGTCACCAGAGGAGTGCCTGGGATGGGACTGCCAAAAGCATGGAAACAAAGTGCTTCTTACTCTCTTGGTCTATTAGAGCGAACTTTCATCTTGTGATCCGTGTGCTGAAGTGCCCTAAGGCCTGGCTGCCCTGTGACTCGTGGGTGGTGGGTGTTACAAAAGGTTTTCCCCTCCCTGGTACTACTCAATTTGAGGTGATTTAAAGGCAGTTCACGGATCTGAGGAGAAATCTGCATTAAGTGCTTTTCTTTCTAAGTCACTTGTCATTGTGCAGCGTCCAGAAGCATCATAGCCCTCTGGCCACCGCCTTCCCAAGGAATTTTTTCATTGGAATGGTATTGCTGAGAAATGTGGAGGCTCCAGGGACCTGCGTGCTGTCTTTTGTCACAGGCTCTTTGCTATGCTTGTCATAAGCTCTCAGATGAAGTCATTGCTCCCGGGCAGGTCGTGCTGCAGTGTTGCAGGGCTTTAAGAGAAAGGTAGCAAGGATTTGAGGTGATAGCTGGGGTGGGCACAGCACGTGGGGCTTTGCAGGTGGCCCCGGATCCTGGCACGTGCCCATGGGCAGGGACCTCCCCTCCATCGCTGCAGGTGCTGGTCCTTGTGCCAACCTCTTCAGGTCTTCGTTTCGAGGATGCTTTGGTGGCGTTGCCTAGGAACAAATAGAGATCTGACTGTGTTGTTTGTGAAAGAAATAAATGATTTTAGTGCTGAATTCTGATGCCTTTGCTAGTTGGGCTGTGCGTGTGGTTGGTTGGGTTTTGCCCCCCGTCAGATACCTTATGTGCTAGGTATGCAAGTCTAGGCCACATGGTACAAAGCATACCTGCTGTATGAGGTTAGTAAGCAGATTCTGCAGGAGACTGTTGAGATAAGGCTGAGCTGTTTGCTCTTGGGTTGTTTTAAGGGCTTTTAGCCTGAACCTGGCACAGAGTTCTGCAGGTAGGGTTTGCTTACCTTCTGCCTGCTGTGCTGTGCTCACAGGAGGAGCAGGATTCATTATTATGGATAGTGCTGATGCTGCGTGCTCTAAGACTATTTTTTTCCTGGAAGCTCATAGGCTGCTGTTGCAAGAGGCAAGGAGGCATTTGTTGTGGTTCACCAGAGAACATTCAGTTCAAAAATAGTATTGCAGGAAAAGACAGAGGTTCACTTTCCGAAGCAGCGATGGAAGCAGGCAGCCTTCCAAAACGCACATGAAAATGCCTCTGGCTCCTATTTCAGGATGAGAAAAACAAGAGCGAGTTGATTGGAGAAATCTAATCCGTGGCTTCTGATTGTTTGTTTGCTTTTGATTGTTTGCTTTCCCTTTGCTAATAAGTGAAAGAGCGCAAATGTGCTCAAATTCATAACCATGCTTTGGCTTGGGGGTTCCCTGTCAGGTCTTGTGGGTTGGGGAGGTGTGGAATGGTAGAAACGGGTTTTCTTTAGGCTTTTGTGTCTGTGAAAGGGTGTAAAACGGGCAGAAGCAAATATTGTGGGTTTGGACAGCCTTGTGCTGGCACTGATCCTGCTCTGCATCACAGCTCAGGATGATGGCAGCGGCCTGGGGCACAGGGATGACTGCAGCTATGACGTGGCACTTCCCTATTTAGGGGACTGTGACAGCCAGCATCAGTCGTTACTTTGAGAACTGAAGGGCAGATGTGACTTTGGCAGGGTCTGTTTATCCAGTCCCATTGCAGGCAGTTGTTCGGTTAATTCCAAAGGTCGGCTGACCTTTGTGTTACCTCTGGTGGTCAGCAAAACACTGTGGCTGTGGCAGTGCCAGCACTGTGACTTGTCACGTTTGAGTAACAGTGCTTGGCCTCTTAGTTCTCCATCTTTGCTTCCTGAAGGTATTGGGCAGTCGCAGCTGCGTGTGAGCAGCGCTCAGGATCACTTTGGATGCAGTGGGTTTGGAGGTGCTTCTGTAGCTCCTGATGTGTCAGCCAGTGGAGCTGGCTTTTGGGAATGGAGCAGGGTGGGTTCTTAGCTGTGGGAGGGCTGGCTGGGAGTCTGAGCTTCTGAGCATCGTGTTGTGTTTCAGGCTTAGTGTTCTGGTGGGACATTTGATCCAAGCCATCACCCAGCCTCCAGTCACATGGGGAGCCAGGGGAGCTTTTTTTAAGGTTCTCTGTTACGCTTTCTGCTTGTGTTTTAATGGCTCAGCTGAGAGGTGGCTCCATGAAAATAACAGTTTGGCCTCGGGTGCAAGGTTTGTTGAAGCACGCGAGGGGAGTGCTGCTTACCTGTTAGCTTAGTCACTTCTGCTGTGTGTTCTTACTTCAAGTCTTTTAGTATCTGGAAAATACTGAGTGACCCACGTGCCAGGATGCTTTGGGGAGTGGGAAGCCAGATTAGGGTGTTGTGTACAACCAGATAAGTAAGCAAATAAGAACACCAAAACACGATTCAGTGAAGTTTGTCACCCACAAGCTCCAGTTTTTCAGAGGAATCGCAGTGTGTTCCACTTCTAAGTGCGGAGTCTCTCTGTCCCTGTGTAATGGGGGGCTTGAAAGGAGCCGTCGCATTCTGAACATAGCTCTTGTTGTAGAGCTGCTTGGATCTGGAGTTCTGCCCGTGTAACTGAGTTTTCCCAGGGTGCTGCGTGAATGCTGAGCTGTGTTGTAATGAATTCCGAGTGGGCATCGGCATGAGCCTGCTCTCCTTTTCCCTGGAAGACGCTGCTGCATTGTCTTGTCTGTTCCTGAAAGCCCCAGTGTTGTCTGTCAAAGGCCTGATTCTGCAAGTGCCACGTATGCAGAGGAGCTCCTGAATGGGAAGGGCTTGTGCTGGGCTCAGCTCTCACACAATGCCCGAGGCAATGCGCTACAGCGCAGTGCTTTGTGTCCGACCGCTGGCATCCCGTGGGCACCGCCGTCCCACTGTCAGATGTTGGGAGTTGTGTGTTAGGTTCTGTTAACGCCGCGGAGCTGCTTTTTGCTGGATGTTTGGATGGGTCTGGTTTTCTGTACCGTGAGTGGGGGGAATGGGCAAAGGCTGGCAGAAGGGAGAGGTGCAGGTTGGGAGCTGCCTGTGTCTCTTAAAGCAGTCTTACGGCTCAGAGCCACTGTGTATAGTGTGAGTGTGCTCTCCTCTTTCTCTTGTCCTCCAGGCGTGGGGGATAAATGATAAAAGTTTGTTTGCACAAATACTTAGCTAGCATGTTGGCACGAGCTTCTGATGGGGGTGTTTCTGTAGTGCAGTTGGCAGATCAAAACCCAGTGCTGGCAGCATTGGGTGCGATGGAAAGCATGGAGCGTGGGGAGCTGTGAGCTGTTGCTGCATAGCGAGATGGACGAGGCTGGGGACTGGCTGTGGCAGGTCGGCTCCGTCCCACGAGGAGACCTGGGGGCTGCTTTGGAGGAAGAGTGATTGCTGCTGCTTGCAGGGCTCCTGGGCCGTTGGTACAAGGGTGTGCCTTGTGCAAGCAGACAGGAAGGAGTCGTGGACCCAGGCACACGTTATCGTGCTGCTTCTAGGAAATGATGTAAGGTACTTCCTCGTACTGACTTTTCTCTGAATTCAGCGGTGGGTGGTTCCCTGGTTGTTTACCTTTAGGCACAGCTGTGGGAGCTGACTCTGTTCAATGATATGTTTCGTTTAATGAGGGGAAAATGTGCTTCTGGCTGACCCGAGAGTGCCAGCTGAGAGCCACGAGACTGAAGACTTCTGAAGTGGTTTCAGTGTGATTGCTGGGGACTGATGTTATGGACACGCAGCAGTAACCGACTGCTCACCTCTTCCTCAACCCACAGATCTGCATAGCAGTTCAGGAGCTGGCCTGAGCCACAGCAGATGTCTGCCTGCCTTGATGCATCAGGCTGTGAGACAGTGGCAGCTCAGGATGTGATTCATGGGCCCTGCATCCACTGCAGACACAGGACTTGATTCGTTCCTGCTTGTCATTAAACTGCCTTGGTAACAGGTGCAGTAACTGAGGCACATACACCCAAAGTAACTTGCATCTAATGAGGAACAGCAGGACTGAAAATACATGTGCTGGGAGGAATGGTAGTGCCTCCCATGTTTTATTCTCTCAGTTCAGGGCCGTGTAGGAAAGGAGGCACGGTCAATTGGCTCAGGCAGCATGAAGGCCTGGTGCATGGCAGACTGCTGCTGCAGCACAGCTGTGAGTTAGGTAAACAGGGAGAGAGTTGAGGCTTTTTGGGTGTACTGAGCACCCTGTGGGTAAGGTTGGTTCTGTGCCCTGCGTTGTGGCAGCTGCAGAGCAGTGTGCCAGTTCAGCCCTGCCTTTGGGTGAGCCAAGCACCAGCCTCTGGGATGGGCTGCTGTGCCTGCTGATGGGAGCTCTGCCATTGTTTTGTGCCACTTCTGGGTGTCTCACATGTGGGTCACTGAGATGCAGGACATGTCAGTGTGACAATTTCAGGCCTGGAGGGACAGCATTGGCTATTGACTGTCAGAATGTGAAAGCAGGACTTGTAGGTCAGCTGCAGTGGTTAATCCGCTGCGATGAGCTTGGTACAAACATTGTTTGCAATAGTGGTTAGTTTCAGCTTATTCTTTTCTGGAGATTTATGATCTATTTTAAGTTTTGTTTTTTGGAGAGGAAAGAAAAAAAAAATATGGCTGCCTATGAGCAAGAAGGTTGGTGGGAGCTTGAAAATGACACAGTGCTGCCTGGGGCTGGGAGCTGGGCCTGGCTGAGTGCATCCCTGGGTACTGCAGTGCGTGCAGGTCCAGCACCACTGCTTTGTTCTCATCGTCATCTTCAGCCGTGTCTGAGGCCTGGTGTGTGGGGAGCTCTCTGTGCAGCCATGGCAGACAGTGTTGCAGTGTGCGCTGTAGGAAGAGCCTTTTACAAATCAAAGTGGAAACTGTGATAGCTGTAAATTCTTACCAGTGGTGGTCCTAAATGTGCCAGTGGCATTAACTGCTGCTTCGGTGGTCAGTAAAGGATATAGCCCAGATTTCTGGTTTTGTTTCAGGCTGCGTGAGCATTTCCAGAGGTTGCAGAGCATGGCGTTACTTGCTGCAGCTGGTCTTTGCTCAGAGGTGGCTCTTAGGGATCATTAACGCTCACAGGCCAGTCTCAGGTCTGCAGGGCGCAGCATTGAAGTACAGCAGCAGTGGGGGGTTGCTCTGCCTGCCTCATCATACTAAAATTGTTTTCTTACGTGTGCATCCTACAGGTCATATTGAACATGGACAGTGAGGAAATTCCGACCTTCTCAAGTCCAAAGGAGGAAACTGCCTATTGGAAAGAGCTTTCCTTGAAGTACAAACAAAGGTACTGTTGTATATTTTCAGAGTGGATTTGGTTCTTGGTGACTGAGGATGTGGCTTAGTCTGTTTCTCTGTGAGACTTTACCAAAATGTATTAAAATGACTCTCTGCATTTCCAGTTTAGGTGCAGCTTTTAAATCCAGCCTTGTGGAGGCTAAGTATTTCGTTCCCTGTGTTACCATGCCATGAACTCAAGACTGAGCAAGTTAGAGCAAGAGAAGAGCCCTTTTATGATAATGTGCATCTTTGTATAATTAAAGTGCTGTCTTAAGTAGTAGCTTGATGTTTTGCAGTAAGACTGCCTGTGGGCTTGCCTGGCATCATTACTGTTCCCCTGGGCTTCTTGCACTCGGTCTGAGAAGTTTCTGATTTGGTAGCTGGCTGCAATATATTGAAGCGTGTTTGTTATACCTCTTAGTCCTGCCTGTGTTTGCCTCTGCTGTCTTTTAAGTGGAGCAGAAGGCTTTTTGGTTACAAAAAGTGGCAAGTGAGCTTGTTGTCTTCAGTGCTGCTTGTGGTTTGGGGTGGTTGTTGATTTTTGTTTGTTTGTTTGTTTGTTGTGGGGGAGGGGAGTCAGCACTGGAGGTTTCCAGCTCGTACATTTCAGAACGCTTTTCTTGCACTCTGTGTTACTGGTGTGCAGTAGAAGCAAAGCCAGCCTAAGGAGCCCAGTGTGCAAGCTGCTTTTTGTTTGGGTCTGTCTTCTGGGTGTAGGGGGCAGGGTGTGGGCATTTGAGATCCTTGAGCTGTGTGAAGAAAGTCTGTCAGGAAGGTCTCACTGGTGCCAATCGAGATGTAGGTTCCTAAAGCCAACTCTGCTGGTTGCAAAGAGCTGCTACAAATGGTAAAGATGAAAATGTAATTAGTGAAGTATGTGGAGTTGCTGCTACAAGTCATTTAATTCCTTGCAGTGGTGTAAGGAGGGTAGGTGCTGGCTTCCTACCAAAGCACTTAGCAACCCTGAGATTCAAACCTGAATGCTTTCCAGCACACTTCTATTTGCAGGTAGTGATGCAGTGATTGTTCTGTGCTGGTTTTTGCCTGAAGCAGGTTAAAAGCTTTATGTCGTGACTCTCTCAAGTCTGCTAGAGTGAAGTCTAGTGGGGTACAGACTAGCAGGAATCCTGGAAATAGCCTTGCTATAGGTTGTATTTGCATGTGCATTTAATGGAGTTATTTGGTATAAAGGGGTGAATTTCTATTAGTAGGTAAACAATGCAATTGCTCTGTTTCCCCCATTTTTTATTTTCCCTGCAGAGGTCTGTGGTTAAGCACTTTAAAACTCTTGTTGCCTTTTCATCTAATTATTTCTGAAGAGCAGTGAACTTTGTGCTTGAGAGATGCTGCATTTTGAACTGATGAAATCTCCTTCCAGCTTCCAGGAAGCTCGTGAAGAACTGGCTGAATTTCAGGAGGGAAGCAGGGAACTAGAAGCTGAGTTGGAAGCGCAGCTAGTGCAGGCTGAGCAGAGGAATAGAGATTTACAAGCAGATAACCAAAGGCTGAAATATGAAGTGGAAACATTGAAGGTAGGTCTCATCTGTAACTTCTTCCTTCAAATATGTCGTGGGTATCATTTCAGGCTGTCTGTTCTGTTCTGGGTCACTGGAGATCTAAACGACATACAGGAATCATCTGCTTAAGCTCTGCTCTTGGGCATGGCATGTACTCCAAATAAGGCCAGCAGCACACCAGAGAAATTTCTCAAGGACTTTTTCTTGTTCACGTCATTAAACACTTGTCATTGAGTTTGTGCTCGTTTGTTTGAAATCTTTAGGCTTCGCCAAGTGGTGCTTTGTTGTGTACACAGGCAGCATCACATAGCAACAGGGAGGACAACACAAGTTTGTTTTGTCAGACCGTGATTTCGTCCTCTTTCTGGACTTTTGTTTTTGTTTTTTCCCCAGAATTTCTCCTTGGTCTTTTGGCACCCTACTGAAATGTGACAGTGGGTGATTGGTGACATCTTTTGGGGGGATTCTCCTAATTTTTTCTTGATAGCCTTATCTGTGGGGACAGGGACTGCATAAAGATCTGTGTGTGTCCAGAAAGGGAATTTTAGTTAGTGTCTGTCCATTAAGGAGTTCTCGCCTCTCTTGGGGTCCTGAAAAGTACTTGTTCTGGTGATCTTGGATTATTTTATGAAAGCAAGGGTTGGGATCTTACCCAATAGAAGTGTTATTTTGAGAATTTCTTGTTCACATATCCAGTCCTAGTTATGTCTGTAGGGCTGGTACCTATTCTTTTAAGGTCAGTGGTTTTTCCATAAGCCCCTGTCTGTACCCTTAGTGCAGGTGAGAGCATGTTTTGGAATTCATCTTCCAGTCTTTCAAAGATAAGTTTGTGAACTTGGAGATGTCCAGTAACAGATTGCAGTGGCTCTGATTTTCAGCAATGGAGATGTCAGATGAGTTCTTGTGACAGTGTGGTCGTTGTAAGGGGAGGGAGGCACTGAAGGGGAGGCTGTGCAGTTTGATTTCTCTCTGGTTTTCTAGATGTTTGAGGCTTTAGAGCAGCTGAACAGCCAGCTGTGTCGTTACGAGCAGTCAGTGCACAGGGCAGCGTGTGTAATCGTATCCTTTGTTCCTTGCTGATGTTCTGAGTTCCCCCTGCCTGTAAAGTTTTTGCCTTGCAGTCCCAGATGTGCAGACTGCAGTTAGCGTGCTGCTTCGTGGATGCTGCTGATACTTCCCTCTCTACGCCTCTCTCTTTCAGGAGAAACTGGAGCACCAGTATGCACAGAGCTACAAGCAGGTGTCGTTGTTAGAGGATGACCTGAGCCAGACCCGGGCCATTAAAGATCAGCTTCATAAGTATGTCAGGGAGCTGGAGCAGGCCAACGATGACTTGGAGCGTGCCAAGAGGTGAAGGCTGCAAAACTCTAATTTCCTTAAATATTCGCTGGATCTTGTCTGTGTTATTCAGATTCATCATTTTATTATTCAGATTCATCATTTTATTATTCCTTTAACGGGGGAGTGGAGGAGGAGAACAAAAACGCACACGTAAAAAATAATAATTAAAAAAAATAATTTAAAAAAAATCCTAAGTCACTTGATTCTTTGTGAAGTGCAACTTACCCTTGGAGTTCACCTCCATCAGCTGGTAGTTTTGCGTTACAGAAGAAAAGCTTGTGGGGGGACCCGGGGTGCTTTGTGTTCTTGTGAGCAATGAGCTGTGCAAGCGAGGCCAGTGCTCTAATTCTGATACTGCCAGCCCAGTGACTCTTACGTTTGTGATCCTTGTAGCTCAAAGCCCCTTTGAAGTAGGAAGCTGGTGCTTTACTTGGTCCCTTTTAAATTAAACACGCCAAAGGAGTCTCCTCTTTCCTTGCATAACAGCTTAATGACGGTGGGGAGCAGATGTGGTCTGTGTAAGTGCAGAAAATGAGCAGGCTGCTGCAGGAGACGCCCGTTTTTGGAGTCGATCGTGCTTCCGCTCTGCTGAATGGGAATTTTGCCATTGATTCAGTGGGACCAGGAATGAGCCTCTGGCTATTTGGCAGTAAGATCTGAGAGCTGAGGCCTTGTTTCCACAGCACTCTTAACCTCATGACTAACTTCTGACACACATAAGTTGTCTCACTGATATCGCTGGACAAGCATCCCAGTGCCCTTCTTTCTGTGAGCTGCTGCCTGTTTCTCCAGAGCTGACACACGAAATACGTGACTTTGGAGAATGACTTGGGAAAAATGGAGCTCGGTGTGCCAGGCTGGCTCTGCCCCAGCTCTTTGGCACATCTTGGAGAGCTAGATGCTATCATGTTCTTTTCATCTCACTCTCTTCTTTGGAGCTCTAGTCCTTCCTAAGAAGCATTTTCATAGCTTTCAAGTAACTATCTTGAATGTAGGTCCTGCTAACATTTTTCCTCTATTATGTATTTGAATACACTTTTAAGTTAGCTGAGCTGAAGAATCTAATATTCTGGATTTTGTTTCTAGGGCAACAATAGTTTCATTGGAAGACTTTGAGCAAAGGCTGAACCAGGCGATAGAGAGAAACGCGTTTCTAGAAAGCGAACTGGATGACAAGGAGTCACTGCTAGTTTCTGTACAGAGATTAAAGGATGAAGCCAGAGGTATGGCTTGCTTGATTAGTTCTGTCTTTGTACATTGCTGGCTTACTAACAGAGACATGAAGCAACCAAAGCTCATGTTTATAGAAAGCCTCACTTAATGAGATTGAAACTGGATGTGTAATATAAGCGTTGGAATTTACCTGCTAATAAACAGTATGTTCTGTGTTCTTTGTGTGTCCACTGAATCTAAGAGGAAAGAATTCCTCATGTTGGGTAAAATTAGTGTCAGATTCTTTCAGGGTTTTTAACCAAGCTGAGTAAAAACATACTGCTTTCCACAGATTTAATAGAGCTGAAAACTGTGTTCTAGAAGTTTCCTCTCTGTGGCTTTGTGCCACAAGGCACAGGGGAAGTACAGGAAGTGACAGGGAAATGCATGCCAAATGGTAAATAACTATCTTGAAAAATGCTGCCTGCTGTTACCTTCTGAACCTGTTGGAAGTTGCCTGGCTTCTTTAAGATATGGCAATAAAGACTGTGGTTAGAGCCGTGGCATCAGGGATGCTTCAGATAATCCTCAGAGCTGTAAGAGCTGGGAATTCCCTGAGAGGTTTCATGTTGAGAACGTGGGGGAAACTTTATTTCTATTTTAGTGGTTGGGGAACATGATTGCTCTGATGGAGCAGCGTTAGCATGCCATCACTGCAGGTTAGAAATCAGTGTTTTTCAGCATTCTTTCCAAACTATTTCTTTGGAAGCAATTTCTCAGTGAAAGCAAGGACCTAAAAAGGACCTTTTTAGGCTGTGCCTGAAAAGCAAACAAACACAAACAAAAAAACCAACCATGTAATGTATTATTGATTTGCCTCTGGGCTCTGCTAGAGACTTCACAGATCCATTGCTGAATTGTGCTGGATGTTCTTTATAGCAAATCTGTGTGGAAATGGGAGGCAGCAAGGTGGTGATACAGAGCAGTCCAGAGAGATAGTGGGAATAAAACACTGGATTCCTAATTTCTCTGCTCTTCCTCTGTCATTTGGGCTATGAACTTCTTTAGTCTGCTTGTTCTCATCTTGATGAATCAAGAAACAGCAGACACAACCCCTTCCCAATATCTGGCTAGTGTGCAGTCCTGCAGATGATTAAACTGGAAGGGCAGCGTTGGGAATTAGAAACAAAATCAGGTCATCAGTCTGTTTCTCTGGCCTCCCAGCTGAGTGCAGTTAGCAGGCATTTGTGAGTGGCTGTGTTCTTCTGCAGCCTATTTTCCATGGAACTCAAACTACAAGCGGGGAGGAATGTGAGGCCAGGTCACCAGCCTTGCGCTCTGGGTGCACGCAGCTCTCAGGGCCAGCACTGTGTGGCTGCCTTCCGAGCTCTGCCTTATTTGAGATGGAGGGCTTTGCTGCTGGAGGGAGGCAGCGACAGTGACTCACTGATTACTGCAGAGTATTCTCTGCAAGAATTCTGTTCTGTGGAATGCTGGAGAAATCTGCCACTGACATGCTGTGTGTTTTGTCTGCGTGCTCAGACCTGCGGCAGGAGCTGGCAGTACGGGAAAGGCAGCAGGAAGTCACCCGCAAATCTGCGCCCAGCTCTCCAACTCTGGACTGTGAAAAGATGGATTCAGCTGTCCAGGCATCTCTCTCCTTGCCAGCTACGCCTGTTGGAAAAGGATCTGAAAATAGTTTTCCTTCCCCCAAAGGTATAATTCCTGGAAACTGTGCCTGATTGGGTGGGAGTACGTTCTGCTTGTCGAAAAATAACTTCAGACAAGGCCCTTGTTAGTAAACTCAAAGTGAACACAGATACGTGTGGATCCCTACATAACGTGTGCTGAAATACCGGAGCAGTGTCAGACCTATTTAATGAGTGTAATTAGTTAATACTGTGGGAAAGAAAGGGAGAAGCTTAGCTACTGCTTTGTAGGGGTGAGGATCGCACTCTGCAGTAGAATATATTTGGGGTCGCAGGGAAATGCAGTGGGTAATATTTCAGCTGAAGTTCCCTGGTGGGTAAATGGTGGGTAGCAGTGCTGGGCCGTCTTTGTTAGCGTGTGCTTGCGGGGTGCTGTGCTGTCAGGCAGTGGGATATTAGCCTAGTCCTCTTCCATCTGGAAGGCTCAGGTCAATCACGAGGATTAAAACAATTTATTTTAAATCAAAGTAGACTCCAGAGAAAGCTCTGGTTGGATTAGATGGATTGCAGGCAGCAGCTATGCAGATGGAGAGTGCGTGAACTCTGCGTGTGTATCTAATGGGCAGGAGGGCAGTGGGCAGGAATTAAGCTTTTTCTCTGTGGCTAGTGATCTGCAGCCTGTGTTACTGTTTGTACAAAGAGTCTGCAGTCAGATCTAAGATTTACCTCCTTACAGGAGTTACTTAAAAATTAAATAGTGGAGGAGTGGCACATATATAATGAAGTGTGTTTGTTTGCAGCTATACCAAATGGATTTGGTACAAGCCCTCTTACTCCTTCAGCTAGAATATCTGCACTCAACATCGTGGGGGATCTCTTACGGAAAGTTGGGGTGAGTGCTGTGTACTGAACTGTCCCCAGTTCTGTGCCTTCCCTGAGAGTTCATCCATATGGGGGATGAAGAGGCCTTGGCTCATGCTGAATTAGTGCTGGAGTTTCTAAGGTGTCTCTCTTAAACTGTCCACACTTAGTGTTTGGGATGTGACAACACTTGTTTTTTAATTATCTTGATTTATGGAGCGGGTTGCTAAGGATCTGATGCCAGCTTTTAGAGATGAAATCTGTTTTTGGAGTAAAGACTTTCTTGGTGCACGGAGGCTGGGCGTTAGCAGATGCTTGTTCATGTTTCATGTGAAAGCAGGACTCAGCTGAACCTCAGCCTTAGGACCCACTGCACAATTGTGTTATTCGTGGGAGGGGAGCTGATAGCAGATGGAGGCTCTGAGGAGATCTGCAGAAGCTACTGAGAACTTAAATGAATAGGTTATAAAAAATAAAATATCCCTTTGGTAAGAAAGTGGAAGAATAAATCAGGAGAAAGCCGAGTGTTCCCATCTGTAGTTGATTGGGAAGTGAAATGCGAGCCTCTAAAGGGATTACAACTGTGAGCAGGAAAAAAGTGCTTTTGACATCTGTTGTGGTGTTGCTTAGGATGCCAGGCTTTCCAGCTGAATGAAGACACAACTTGTGAGTGGTGAGAAGCTTGTTTGCTTGCCTCCTTGGGCAGTGTTTCGAGTGGAAGCATGGCAGCCTTGGTGTCTAGCCTCCAGGGCTGGCTTTCCTCTGTCCCTTGTGGTTTGCACTAAGAACAGAAATAGCTGACATGAATATGGTTGTTTTAGCCAAATCTGACATTAAAAATCAGATCATTGCTTGTATTTAGAGCTCGTGAGCTCATCAAGCCTGGGTTGAAAGGGCAGCAGGACGGCTCAGGGTTCCAGAGTGGCATGTTTAAAATGGGATCATTGTGAGTAAGAGTCTGTAGGGGATTTAGGGAGCTTAATGACATGCCATGTGATTACTCTGCGAGGACAGGAAATGCCAAATAAGCGTGCTTCTTTCCCAGCCTATTCTTAAACACACACAGCCAGCGATACAAAATTCCAGCTGATGCATTTATTTAGTAATAATTATAGGATGTGCAGGGTTTCTGTGGGTTGGCTTACCCATTGGGTGCCTCATCCTGTGCCTGGGGCTCCCTTTCTCTCCAAGATGTTCCCCTCAGCTTTCTTGCTGGCATGTGAGACAGCGAGCTACATGGACAGCTCAGTTGGTGCCCTCCCTGCTAGGAGTCAGTGGATGAGGCAAGTCTGCTACCTTGTATAGGAGGAAAAAAACTTGTCAGGCTTGCTTGGATGTGGTAGAAATGAGGTAGAACCCCTGGAGATAGGCTTAGCTGCCTTTGTTTCCCTCTTATGGGAGGTCTGTAGCACCTCTTCTGAAGCTTAGCAGGGAGGATAAAGAAACTGGTGAAGTTTTGCAGGCTGTGATTAGGAAATACCAGAAAAATACTTTCCTGCGGAAAAATGCAACTTTACAAATATGCTGTGCCTCCTGAAATTGGAGGATTCTGCTTTTCTCCTTGAGCTTTTTGGTCAGCTTACACCAGCATCATTCTAACTCTGGAACAGGAGCTTTCAGTTACCACCTCCAGCATCTGACTTCCGTGCTTCAGGTACCTAATTGAGAGTTGATTTCTTGTAAAGTCCTTACCCTAATGGAGGAGGACTGCACCTGGCAGTCTGCATCAGCATCTCATTACGTGCTTCTGACTGGAGAAGACAGCAGTTCTGTTTCCATTTAGCTCATTTTTTGCCTAAGATGGTCACAGTGGGGTTCTGACCATACTGATTTCTGGTCATGCTAAAGCCTGAACTTGAGCAGCAAAATACTTTCTCCTAAAAAAAAAAAAAAAAAAAAAAAAAAAAGTAATCCCTCTTCTCCCTCCCCACCTCTCTTTTCCTTTCACAGGCCTTAGAATCCAAGTTAGCTGCTTGCAGGAATTTTGCAAAGGACCAGGCATCACGGAAATCCTACATTTCAGGGACCGCTAACAGCAGCGCGATGAGCAGCAACGGCACCAAGTTCCCTCATGCAGGGCATACTTCTTTCTTTGACAAAGGGTAAGTCAGCATGTGTTTGTACACTGAGGGGGGTGGATGTTTCAGGATGCTGTGTGAAACAAGTTTTCCTTGGCTTGTTTTTAGCTTTTGTCCAGTAAGACAAATCTGTGCAGCCAGTTTCTCCATGGGACAGAGGAGCAGCGTTCCACTGCAGGCAAATTTGCTTCACTTTGTTCCACTGCAGGCCTTTGTTTCCACTGTAAAGCAAAGAGAAAAGCAAGTTTTTGATGTCTCAGCTGGTGGGATGTCACTGCCTGTGCTGCCCTCTGCTGCCCCAGCTCTTGGTGGCTGCGTAAACCTTCTGGTGCAGTGACTGTGCCCTTCACAAGAATCTCAAGCAGGCAGTGGTGGGGCTGCCACAGCTGTTGGAGTGCTTGTGTGCGGGGAGTGCCTGAACTGCAGAGCTGCAGGTTCCCTTAGTAAGAGCACTAAGTGGGCAGCACTGCTTCCTTGGAGAGTGGTTCCCTCTTTGCTCTTCTCCTCCCTGCTATCAGTGAAAAAGCACATGTTGCTAACTGTGTAATCCTTGCTGATAGAAGGGACAGCTGTCCTGTGCTGTCCTGCTCTGTGTCAGCCATAGTGTTTGAGGCAGCGTTTGCAGGAAGAACCACCCTGTGACTTGCTCATAGTTGGAGTTTCCTCTCTGGTATGGGGAAGTGGTTCAGCAGGAGGATTTTCCCATAGTCCTTTGTAGCTCAGGGCCCCATGGTTGCATGAGCAGCCCTGAGGAGCAGGGTGCACAGCCAGGCTCTCCTCCTGTGTTACCCAGCAATAGGGAAACCTGTGCTCAATGGCAATGTGCAAAACACCCTCTGTGCTCTCTGCTGGCAATAGTCTTCCCTATTAGACTTCAAGCCAGAGCAGTTTTAACACTGATATTCAGCACATCCTGTAAACAGCATTTATTGGGAGCTTTAAACAACTTAAAAGAGTGCCACACAGAAGCAGACAGGCTGGGTTTCTGGAATCCTCCTTGTGGGAGCTGAATCATGTTGCTATGTGGGTAGCAGGGCATGTTGCATCTTAGAAACTGGCAAGAAGAGCTTTCAGAGCTACTGGTGTTTCTTGCTTTTGGAAAAGGGAATGTTCACATACTTAGCAAGGTCAGCATCACATGCAAATGGGGCAGACTGTGAGGTTGGCTGCGTACTGGGAGGCTGACCAGGGTCTGTGCATCACCACAGCAGTGGTGGTGGCACCATGGGCTCCATTTCATGTGCAGGCTGTCAGAGCAGTGCTGGGGAGAGATTAGAAGTGTTCTTGGGAGGCAGCATGGCTACAGTGAACTGTGGTATGGTAATAAGCTGATGGCTGCGTGGGATGGGAGTCGCTTCTAATTACCTTCTGACTGTCATCACTCTTGCTATCTGGGCTGGCTGCCTGCAGTTCAGGGCAGGCTGTAGCTGAAAAAGGCTTAGACATGTGTCCCTTTGATAGTGCACTTCCTCAGCAAACTTGAAGGATGCTAACAGTCTGGGGAAGTGATGGAGGTGACCAATTTACCTGCACGTTCTTAGAGATCCTTACGCAGTCCCATCCCTCCCCTCTGAACACAGATGTGCTGCAGGCCGTGGGATCAGCAGCTCACACCTCACAGCTGCCCTGCTCTGCCTCCCTCGTGGCCCAGGGCCGGGTGCAGCGCTGTGCTGCACACACTGTAACCCTGCCTCGCTGTGCGTGAGGGCAGAGCAGAGCCCTGCCACCAGACCTGAGTGCATCACAGCGGTTGGCTGAGCCGAGGTTTTGCCCTTTCTTCTCCCCTCTTCTCCTTTCTCTCCAGCCCCTGTTCTCTCTTCCCTGCCCCAAACTGTCGCTGGAGCCTGAAACAGCCACCCGCGCTCCTAGACCCGGTCCAGTCTGCAGCCGCTGCCTTATGAACGGCCAGTTGTTGGGTGGTGGGATTGTGCCAGAGGTAATCCAGCCATGTCATTACGGTTCCATTTGCTTTCCTTTCTCTGCCTTTTTGTTGCTAAAAGTGTTTGAGCCTCCGTGTCTCATCAAACTCCTGCTCTGTGCTTGCTGAGCAGAGCTAGGCGGGCAGCTGAAGCAGGTGTGGAAGCCAGGATAGGAGCAGTTACCTCAGAATCGTTTGAAGGGAGGTTTGGAGAACAGCTGGGCTTGCACGCGAGCTTTGCAGAAGAATTGGAAGGCTCAGGAATTATCTGCTGTGTTGGGTTTTGTTTTTATTTTGTGCTCTACCAAGTCTGGTGTAAGATCACTTTCCTGCAGACTGGTTCCTTTAGGAACGTGGTGGCTCTGTGTGCACCCCCAGGCCTACAGAGCAGCACCTGAGGGGTGTTCTGTGATGGAAATTTGTTCCTTTGCAGTTAGAATTGTTGTTAGCTGTTAGGGACTGCGATCCACTTGGGGAATAAAATGCCTCTGACCTTGATGGGTGCCGCAGAGGCACGACGACAGCCGAGCTGGGACTGCAGCGAGCCAAGATGAGCTGTTTGTTCCTTGGGGCACGAGCTCCTTGCTCACAACTCCCTCAGTCCTCTTCTTTTCTTTGAGCATCAGAGCATTGCAGTTGCTGTTTGTTCTGAGGCAAGTCCTGTGAATCTGCTGGGCTGTGTTTAAAAGTGAGAAGTGCCTCTGCTTGCACGCTGCTGGCAGTGCCACCGTGCGAGCAGCTGTGGTGGCAGTCACTGCACCTAGGATCCCTGTCTGCCCTGCAGAGCATCCTTGTGCAGAGCTCAGGGATCAGCAGCTAGGTGAGGTTCACTCAAACCCTTTTCCCTGTGGCTTAACTCAGGGTTATGCCCAAGAATGTCTTCACTGTGTGCATAAACTGTTTCACTTTTTCTCCACTAGGCGTGAAAAGGTGATATTCCCCACCTTGGTCATGGGTAAATGAATTCATTTGCAATGATAAGCTGCATGCATTTTAACTGCGGTGCTTGGAGGTGCAGAGTTGGTGGATATGCTAACTGCATGAGGTAGTTCTCGTAGCACTACAAACTAATAGGCAATGATTGAGGCCTGAGGCTATAATCTTTCTTTCTCTTTGCTTTAGATAAGTTTCTCTGGTGCTGTGACCAGTTCCAGCTGTAAGGTTGAGTGCTGCTTGCTTTCTTGGTTTAATAACTCTTCAAATATATGCATGTTTCTGATGGAGTCGGATGTGACAGAGAGATGGGGTGAAGCATTGCTGCTCTTACCCCAGCTAATCCTGAAGTCAGTGTGTCCTCTGCCTTGTTTCTTCCTCAGCACTGTGCTGGGTGTTGGCCTGCCTTGGAGGGAGCAGGGATGGCCCTTCCCTGCTGTGCGTGTGGCGGGGGCCAGGCTGGGTTATTGGGCTCCAGGACAGTGTTCTGTTGAGGTTCTGTTTGATGCTTAGAGTTAAGAGAGCCACAGAGGCCTTGTACTAAGGATGAAATACAGCTTGAAATACAGATTAACGAGTAAAGATCCAGCTGGAACAATCACAGGACGGAGAGCAACTGGAAATGGGCACAAAGTGTGTGCCGTGGTCAGGACAGCAGTCAGAAACACCCAGCAGGAGCTGCTGCAGGGGGGAATGTTTCCAGCAGGGACTGTTGGCTTGGGATCAGTCTGAGGCGCCGGCCCTGATGGACTCACCATAGAGAGAGCTCTCTGCAAATCAGAGCTGCTGCTTCATCTTCATTTCTGCACCAGGGGTGAGGCCAGCAGTGTGTAGTGTGTGTCCCCTGCCCTGCTGCACCCCGCTCAGCGATGGCTCCTTCTCCTTTTTGTCCTGGGCTTCGTGAAGCTGTTGGTGTCGCCCGTGGCTCAGTCTGGGCCCTGCCACATCTGTGTGGCAGCTGTGAGGAGGGCCTGACTGCTTCATGGCCTCTGGCCTTGGTTATGTTTCTCTGGGATGCAAAAGGGGCACCTGTGTTGCTGAATGGGCCTCGGAGCAGGAGCTGAAAGGAGTTGCATCCCTTAAAGGTGAAACTGCCATTCCTGCCTCGAATGTCTCTTTTCTTTCCCAAAGGAAGCAAACCACTGCTTTTTAATCCCATTTATTTTTTCGTTCTCCCCTGCGCTGCTTGGCAGAGCTGCTCTCTCCCTGATAAGTCATTTGCAGAGTCATGTTGGGACCAGGTCGGCTTCCTGCCCCTTCATTCACGTGGAAATAGCAGAGTGCATCTGCTCTAAGGACTCTTCCAGCAGTGTTTTGCTGCATGGAGGCACCTGCCTCTGAAACACATTGCAGGTCGTGTCTCAGTCAGTTGAAATTTCAGCCTTAACAGGAAAGGAGGCAAAGGTTTCCCCCCCCACAGCCCCGTGCGGGGTGCAACAGGCTCTGCTGGAGGTGGGGAGGGCTCTGCAGCAGCATTACCATGGGAAGCCAACCTTGCCAGCAGGCATTCAGGTTCTTCACCTGCTCCTCTGGATCAGCGCTGTAATTGCTGGGCACAGGGAGCACGGGGGCAGCAGTCGGGTGGGTGTGCTGTGCTGTTGAGGGGTAACTGCATCTCCTCATCAACGCTGGGCTGATGGCGAGCTTAGGTGCTGTGTGCAGAGCCGAGTTGAGGAGATCAAAACCCAAACAGGGTGGAGGCTGTGGAAGGCTGTCACACACGTGTGCTGCTCCCTGGGCTGTGTGCCTCGCAGCTGAGAGCAGCTGTGGGAAGGGGTGAGCTTGTGGTTTGCAGCTGGGTGGAGGCTGTGGGTTTGGGGGCTCAGCAGGGAGGGGTGGGGGAGGCCTGGAGGCCCCGGAGCCCTTCTACAGCCCCAGCTCCGCTGTGCTTTACTGTGTGCTGCCTGTTCTCACTGAGCCCATTCTCCATTGTGCGGTTGCACTGCAGCTGTGTGAGCGTGTGCAGGTGGACGGACGGATGCCTCCACTGTGCTGGGATCAGCCTGTGTTGAGCCTCCAGTTGGGCTGGTGGGGAGCCAGCCCTGCCTGGCTGTGCCCTGAGGGCTGCCCGGAGCCCGCAGGCTGGGAGCAGCTGCTGCTGGGCAGGAGGGAGGGACGTGGGGAACGGGCCTGGGGGGCAGCTGAGCTGCCTGTGGCTGTGCCACCCCTGAGGCCGTCGCCCCTCATCCTCTGCGTGGCCCCTGTGCAGTCAGCACAGCGCTGCCCCTGGGTGTGTGTGCGGCAGGGAGGTCTGGGATGGAGGGGCTGGGCTCAGCCCCAGGGTGGGCTGGTACTGACCTGCCTGTCTCTTGTTGCTTCTCAGGGCAGTAAACGGCTTTGATCAAGGGACCCCGGGACTGGGAGCCTCCAGACCTTCCTCAGCACCTGGCATGCTCCCCCTGAGCGTATGAGTCGGCGCCAGGCTGTGCTTGGACTCGCGGACGCTTTTCTCGGCCCAACAAGAGAAGTGTTTTGGTTTCCTCCCCCTCCCTGCCCCGCAGGAACAGGACCTGCACCATGGCGTGCAGCAGTGCCCGTGCTGCTGGAGGAGAGCCCATGCTTGCAGCCTTTCGTGTCCTGTTAATAGAGTTAACTGTAGTGGGTGTGCCCTGCGGCCCCGTACCACGTGTTGCACAAGCTGACACATAGTGCTCTGTTGCAGGGGATGCAGAACCTCAGCCAGGTGCTGCTCGACCTGTCACTGCATCTCTTTTCTCAGTTAGGTTTGGTGTGACAAAAACATTTGCCGCTTTTCTTGAAGGCTACGCCTCTCCCTGCCTGATCTCACATCCTGCTGTTTGAGCCAACCAGCTGCTGTCCTTCCCCATGGGGCTCAAACCTCTCAAGACACACTGAGCGAGGCTGGGAGCAGGAGTGGAGGCTGGCAGTGAGCTCTGGGGGTGTGAGTGAATGCAGCATAGAAATCACTGCTGGACAGGTGAGCAGCTGGCTGTGTCCATAAGGCCCTTCCCCAGCCCAGCAGATGGAGGTAGAGCTGGTGCTGGCGTGGGGCTTTGCTGAGGAAGGCCCAGCATACATCATTTAGCACCAGTGCCCTTAGCAGTTCTGGGCTGAGCTTGGCTGAGCCTCCTCCTGTGGCACAGGGCCTGCAGCAAGCTTTTTTCCCATGTGCCTGAACCATCCCAGCACTCTGCCCTCCTTAGTGGCCCTTCTGCCCCCCCAGCCAGACATCAGCTCTTTAGGAAGCTGCTCAGCCCATGGACTGCAGTACCTACGAACTGCCTCCTCCCAGCACCCTGTATCCATCGGCCCCATGTTCAGCTCTGTAATATAGGACAGGATTTCAGTGTCACCTGCAGGCTTCTGTGACAGTTTTGGGCGACTGTGTTCCTTGTGGGTCTTTCAGGCGATGTATTTGTGCGAGTTCTCTGTCGCTGTGCCTCAGAGTCGGTGGATTTTGATGTGAACCAACGAACCCCAGGGGGGTCTGAGGAAAAAAAAAAAACCTTCCCAGTTTGGTCCATCGCGTTCCTCGGCTCTGCAGCTGTACATTGGTTTATTTACGAGCGCTGAGAGAAACCGTTGGCCCCAGCAGAACAGAGGTGGGAGCGTTTCCCCCTTTGCCCTTAGGGCCCCTATGGTCCTCTTTTCCTGTGCATCCTCTGCTGCATTTGACTGTTTACATTTGTTTTATTGTACATAGGTTTGTAAACATATTATCTTTGCCTAAGATCTTTGTACATAACTTAACTTGGGCTTTGTAGCTTTATTTATTCAAAGTCTATATGGCATGTTTCAGTAGGACAGTGTACCATAACACCGTGGGCACACAGCATTATGTGGTTTAAAGACAAAACAAAAAAAACAACAACCAAAACCTGAGAGTAATATTCCCAAAATAAAGTTCTTTTAATGTGGAATCGGTGGATTTTGCAGAAGAGGCAGCGGTGGCTGTGTTTGTCCTGCAGTGTTTTTGGCTGAGCTGGAGGGCAGGGTGGGAGGCACCGCTCTTCTGTGCAGCTCCTGCCCCTTAGCTTGGCACTGCACACACTGTTGGTGCATGGAGCCAGCGGGGCTGAGCACACCTCTGCTCCCCGTGCTGTGGGGCAGGAATCTGCTTGGGCTCCTGGTGGAGGTGTCCAGCTGCAGGCAATGAGGGGCAGCGCTGGCTGGGCTGCCAGGACCCCACGCAACCCCCAGAGCTGTGCCTGCTCCAGCGCTGCCCCCAGCAGCAGAGCCCTGTGCTTCCCCAGGTACTCATGGCCTCCATCCCACTCCTGACTCACGATCACAGCACAGCCTTCCTGCTGCTGCCCTGCAGTGGCAGCCCGTGGAAACGCCTTGTTGGCAGCTGGTGTCGGGGCAGAGGCGCACCTGCATCCATGGCAGCTCCTTCCTGGGGGAGAAGTGCTGGGCGGGAGGAGAGGGGACACCACGTGGACAGGGCTGCCTTCATTGCGGTCAGTTGGAAAATGCCCTACCAGCAATAACCTGCTCTTGCACAGAGCCCGAGTGGCCACAGTACCACAGGGAGATGGGAGCACAGGCTGTGACACGTGGGGCACAGCGCCACCTCTGCAGCACTCAGATCACAGGCGGTGAGGCTTCTTCCTTTGCAGCAGGAGGAGCAGCAGCACAGCTGAGAGCAGCCCTGAGGAGCAGGGCAGGAGCTGGCGGCAGGGCACCACGTGGACAGAAGCAGCAGCCCGGCCCAATGCGACGCTCACAGCCCACGCTTGGTTGCGGCCCATCAGTGCAGCTCCCACGGCTCCCAGCTGCAGCACTGAGCTCCCAGCTCTGCCACCCCCCCTGCTGCCAGTCCTGGCTGCGGAGGCAACAGGCGCAGCTCTCCCTGCTCCCAGGAGAGGTCAGACCTGACAGCTACAGAACTGGAGCTCGGAGGCGTTTGGAGGCATTGAGATCCCTTTGTGATCCAGAGCTGCGCTCCGTGGAAGTTGTAAGGCTCAGCCCTCCCCCAACACTTCACGCTGTACTGAGGTAGAAGAGAGCAAAACAGAAAACCAAAACACTAAGAAGGGAGAAGTCAGCTTCCAGCCATATTCTCATTTATTAAGGTCTATGCCAGCCTCAAGAAATAGCTCTTCCTGTAAGTAAACAGAGCAGGCGGCCACAGCTATAATGAATAAATTTATTGTCTTACAAAAATCATTGTCTAGAAATATGGGTATACAAGAAAACAAGATATTTGCAGTCAGATGCCTGGTGGTCAACAGCCAGTTTGATTAAAAATACCCAAACACACAACACAACCTTTGCGACAGATGTTAAAGCTTTTAACCAAAAAAAGGAAATCCGTATCTGTTTGTTGGGCGCGTGGCAGAGGAAGGTTCCTATTAACACTGATTCATCGTCACTAATATCCATAATACCACTTGGACTAGAGAGGTACATGATATGAAGCACAGTCAAAATTAATACATTAAATCATCGTTATATAGGCAAATTATATATGTAACATTGTCTTAGTACTGTAGTGTCTAAGGCACTTTCTGTAATGTCAGTTTTTCAGCTATTTAAACAAAAAGAACGCTAACTACTCGCTGTAATACTGCTCAAAATAAAAAACAACAGCAACAACAACGAAAAAAGGATTCACATCCACTGGCTTGTTAACTGCAGGCAGGCAACACCCTCTGTGCAGCGCTGGCAGCGCGGCCGTGGCACCGTCCTGAAGTTCATAAATTACTGCGCCTGTGCTGATGCTTGTTTTCCACTGGTGTTCACATTGAACTAGCCTTAGTGTATATATACAGAGCTGGTGGGCATGGAAGAGCAGGATGCTACAGCTGCAAAGTACTGTACAGAGAGGAACGGTGACGCTGTTTGCCTGTACTGCATGACACTAATGGATGAAGCAGGTGCTGAGAACACTCCAAAATGGTTCTGAGGGTTAAAAATGGACACTACTCACTCATCCCTACGCTTCCCTCTAACGCTTCCCGAGGCTCTTCACAGTTCACTCCCTGATTGTGTGCCGATCACAACAGTTAGGAGAAAAAAAGATGCGGGTGCGGTTTGGTCTTCAACGATCCAACGGGCCCAGTGCAGCCAGGGCTGCCCGAGCACAGAAGAAATGGAAGGATGTTGTCTGTACAAAGCATGCTGAGCCATGCCAATGGGGCTGTCCCAACCACCTACCCTCTGGGAATGAAGTTTCGTGGGGTTTTTTTAACCGATACAGAAAGTTTCATCCTTCACATGATGCTTTATAAAATGGCTTTACAATGAGTGTCTGGAAAATAGATGCACTGAACAGAGACGATCCCGTTTTGTTACTATATGTAAAAAAAAAAGCAGTTGTACCTATATCTGAAGCGGGGTACAGTATGGTGAGGCTGGAGAGCCTTAAGACATAGTTGACCTACGGTAAGTAACCTTGTAGCATGCCGACATTTTGTAAGGCAGATTTAGGGCCACAAGGCAGCCTGGTGGTCAGGAAAGTCCTCCTCGCTCTGCCCACTGTGGTGTAAAGGTCTCTGCATGCAAACGGTGTGCGGGGCTCTACTCAGCAGGGCTCGGCTGCGCCTCGTTCACGTCGCTGCCTTTGCTCTCCGCGTCGTCATCCGAGAGCTCCAGGGAGGCCCCTTCGATGTGCAGCTGGCGCCTGCCGGATCGGCTGGAGGAAAAGGTGATGGGGCCGCCCCTCCTGCAAGCATCAAGCAGAGAACAGCCTTTGCATCGTCCTCACGCTGCCCTGACGGCTCCCAGCTGAGCTGCAGGGGCACAGCGCTGCCCCAGGTTCCCAGGAGGAGCGTTGGAAGCACTGCTCCCATCACAGGACGCCCACAGACGTTCTGCTGCTCTGCTTATTTCACACCACGCACTGAGCAGGGTGGGTTCTTCAAAAGCAGCTTGCTTAGGAAGCGCTGCGCTGCACCCCTCCTGCCACTGCTGGCCCTGCAGCAGCCCGGGATGGCTTTCCTCCTGCGGCCTCCCCTCCTCCAGCCCCGCTCCGTACTGGATACAAATGCTGAGAGCAGAGCTTTGCAAGTGTGAAAAGCTCCCCTGGAGTCGGCTGGGAGCAACACAATCAGTGCTTGCCACTAGAAGAGCATAACTGAGCCATGTCGCCTCCTGCTGCTGGACTTAGGCACCGGCCCCAGCCAACCCAGGATATACGCTGTGAAGAGCGCTGGCTCAAGAGCCATCAGGAACATCTTCACAGCCAGCAGCTGCCTCAACCATCACACCAGGCTCAGGCATCAGCTCCCAGCAGACTCCAGTGCAGCCCATCCCCTAACAGCAACAGCTCTGCTTCCACAGCTCCACAGCTGAGCGGCCCCCAAGGACGCAGCATTACAGACACGGTCAGAGGGCACCCAGATGAAGCCCTGCCAACTCCTGCACCACGTACCTTAACCTGTTTTTCAGGGTGCTAACCTCCCTGCTCAGGCCCTCGTTAGCCTCTGTGGCATCGTCCAGCTCAC